ACGTCTTGCGACAGGCGCATCCGTAACCGTCATGAAGCGTTTAGTGAAGATCCACTATGCGCTAGAAGATACCCAATCTGACGATGACTTTATCGTATTGGATTCGGATGAAAAATTGATGTCATCCTTGAAATACCGTGGCTCAGAAGGTACGAACCACGGGTAAATTGGCAACATCGAACAGTAACGATGCCTGCCGCTTGTTCATCAGATGGCCTCCTGACGAACGTTTTGGAGCGTCCACAAGCGTGTGGATGTACTACGAGTGAGTGCGATGGCCTCACTTGTTGTACGGTCGTTAGTACGACTGCACAAAAACTTAGTGTAACAAATAGTTACACTTCGGAGGAAAATTCCGGCAGCTATGAGGTAACACAGGCTGCGCCGAAGGTCCACCACTCGAATAAGTCGAGTGGACCGCGACAAAAGATGTATCCGTAGCGGGGAACATCTAGAAGAGAAACCATCGATCGCTCAGAGTTAATCGAAACGATCATCATAGATCGACTGGAGAGTCTTTCTGAGAGGATCTCGCTGTTGCGCAACCACAGCTAGAGGAAGTTGAGGGAATAGGTCCCGATTTTACAAATACGGCGGAAATAAGTTCCCCGAAACCCGCGGGAATAAGTCCCCGGGAAGCCGAAGGAATAAATCCTTCGAGGCCTGAGGGAATGAGTCCCCAGGAAATGACAGATACATTGAATGTCCTAGTCAATAACGGCTCAAGTGTAGGCGCTTATACACTTGATCTGATTGCGCCTCCGAAGTTGACTTCGGAGATCACTCAGTTGCCAACGCTCGAATATAAAAGTTTCTTGCGTGATCTGCGTAGTGGCAAAGTCAAGCAGATCTGCATACTCGTCGCTGACGACGAGTGTGTAGCCGACATTAGGTCAGCAACAGTGTTCACTGAGAATGAGAGAGTTCTCAGTAGTTCATCTATGGACGAGAGTGTCCTAGATGAAAATACACGAATGGAGCGATATGACTCCCAATCGTGGGGAATCGCTCAAGACAAATCCTCTCTATGAAGATTTGGTTGAATTCAAGGATGTATTCCCTGAAACTGTTCCGTGCGAATTGCCGAAGGATAAAGGTATTCGACACGAGGTCGAGCTTAAACCAGGCTCGAAGTACTATGTCATGAAGCAGTGGCCACTGCCTCCTGAATGAAGTACTTGCGATCGACAAGTTCTTTGCCGATCGTTTAGCTACGGGCCATGTGAGGGAATCAACTTCCCTACATAGCTCTCAGACCTTCTGTGTGCGAAAAGCAACAGGAGGGTGGCGGATAGTGCATGCATTTAACAAGTTGAATGCTGCAACGGTACCCGCTCGAATCGCCGATACCGAGGAAGGACGTAATCATTGATGGTATGTAAAAGAGTACCATCTTTTCGTCCATGGATTTGATGGGTGGCTTCTATCAAATCCTTATGTGAGAACGGGATATACCCTATACCGCAGTGACCACGTCTAGCGGAATGCTCTGGGAATGGCTAGTAATGCCACAAGGGCTTAGTTATGCCCCTGCCACGTTCAACAGGTGTGTATCACATCTGTTGAGGCCAGTACGAGAATTCGCGCCGAGTTATTTCGATGACGTATTCATCCATAGTCGAGCTATGGATGGAAAGTCGGACGTTGAGGTTCACAAGTACCACGTCCGACAAGTTCTTACAATCATGCGAAAGCATCAATTGTATGCAAACCTCAAGAAGTGTATATTTGCAGCAAGTGAAATACCACTTCTTGGGTGCATCGTTGGTAAGAACGGTGTACGTCCTGATCTCGAAAAGATCAAGGCAATCACCGACTGGCCTGTGCGAGTTGATGTCAAAGGAATTCAAAATTTCCTTGCGCTAGCGGCGTATTTGCACAAGTATTCACGCGATTACGCCGAGATGACTGTATACACCTCTATCGTTTGTTGAAAAATAAACGAGAGGTGGTTATGGAACGCTGAATGTCAGCGCTCCTTTGATGGTATCAAGCAGAGCTTGATACAATCCCCAGTCCTAGCAATTGCCGATCAGGACAGGCCATTTCATGTAGTCTGTGATGCCAGCGATTTCGCAATCAGCTGTGCATTAATGCAGTACGATCTTGAAGGCGTTGAACGCGTCGTCTGCTGTCAGTCACGTCAGCTGCAACCAGCTGAGCGGAACTATCCAGTGCATGACAAGGAACTCCTTGCCATGAAGTATGCACTCGCGAAGCTCAGAGTCGATCTATTAGAAGATAGACCCTTCATTGTTTACACAGACCATGCGTCGTTACGCACGGCAGTGAACAGCCCGCACCTTTCACAACGAATGGCGCGGTGTTTGTCATACTTTGTAGAATACAACTTTACGGTAGAGTACAAACCAGGACGAATTAATATCGTCGCTGATGCACTCTCACGTCGGCCCGACTTTGAACCAGTCGTGAAACCCAACAGTAAGACAGCCACTGTTACGGTAATGACGTCCTCAATACCATCTACAACGTTGCATGATGATGTGAGGCGGGCGTATGCCCAAGATGGTGATATTGTGAAGTTGTCGACACATCTCTCACAACCATCTCGATAATCGTTGAAACGATTATCGTCTGCGTATCGATCTGCATCAGATTGATACACTACTCGCAACGGTTAACTGTATTATACATCCGTTACTGGTGACACACCACGTGTTGCTATCCCAGATGATACTGAGCTGCGTTTGCGGATCATGTTCGAGTATCACGATGCTCCTATAGGAGGACATCGTGGCCGTGAGAAAACATGTCTCACGGTGAGTCGAGACTTTTACCGGCCCCGCCAGTATCAGTTTGTGCGAAAGTACGTTCGCGCATGCGAAGTCTTTCAACGAGTGAAATTAAGTCCTTCACTGCGTGCACCTTTACAGCCTCTACCAGTTCCGGCTGAGTGCTGGGAATCCATCTCAATGGATTTCGTCTTCGGGTTACCCAAAAGACGCACGCGGGAATACGGGTGTTCTCGTATTTGTTGACAGATTCAGCAAAATGGTACACCTAGTGGCTGTACAAGTGTCAATCACAGCAAGTGGCTGTGCTTGTGCCTTTATCGACACCATCTTCCGACTTCATGGGTTGCCCCATGAACTCGTATCAGACAGAGATCTGCGCTTCACAGCTGATTTCTGGCGCTCCGTGTTCAAATTACTCCGGAACGCGCTTGAAGATGTCGACATCTGATCATCCAGAGTCAGATGGTCTGACGGAACGAGGCAATCGTGTCCTCGAAGAGATACTTCGAGAATACGTACACTTCTTTAAGAGTTGGAGTGAGTTTTTGCCCATGGTAGAGTTTGCCATCAACAACTCGGTGCATGCGTCCACGACACATACACCGTTTTACGTGAAATGGCTTGCGCCATCCGCGTGTACCCACCTTACCAGAGTGTAACTCTGGTTTCAGGGGGGAGAGACTCGCGCGAGCAAAAACTGATTTGGTTCACGCTCATTACGCTCTGACGAAGAGGTCATTGCGTTTGATGCAGAAAACATCGACATAAAAGAAGATGATGCCTGTTAGAGCGAGGGAAGCCCTCACTGAAGAAAAGATTGATGTCGCTGCAGTGCACTCACAGCGCACTAAAGCTAACGAGTCATCAGATGAGTTCATACTGGCTCGTGAAACGTTAGTCCGTTTTGTGCAAGACTCCATCGCCGAAGCGGTGGATAAGCAAAAAGCAAAACGCAGACATGAATGGAAGGGCAAACACTCTTTTATTTAATCAAGGTGACTTAGTCCTACTGTCTACGGTTAATCTACCAAAGCATGTAGTGACTAACTTGGGTATTAGTAAAATTCTACCCAAGTACATCGGCTCATTTCGTGTATCGCATCGCCTAGGCAATGCATACACGATCGAGTTGCCACCCGTAAGATGCGAACGCATCCCACGTTTTTCGTTGGTCGGCTTAAGCCGTACCATCAGTACGCTGTTTCTTCCGATGAAGAACGCCCTTGCACTTAGCAGCATCTCACAGAGGGCCTTGTGCTCCCGTTGGTGGATATCGAAAAAGGTCTGAAGAGCAGTTTTCTCAGCCTTAGACCGGTCAATATCTCCACGAGCTACCCTTAGCTCGTCACGCAGAGACGTCAAAGCTCTCTCGTTCTCAAGCTGAGCAAACTCAGCTCGATGCTTCAAGACAGTGTCCGTCAGTTGGAGACGCCTGTCCCGCTCATGCTCGAGATCGCCGCGTAACCCTTGCGTTACGCGATCAAAGAAGCTCTCGGGGACACACGCTTCCCCGCGATAGTTTAGAGAGCGTTTTTCCTCCTCCTCCACCTCCATTAGAGGACTCTCACGGTGGCCAGCGCTATCTGTTTGAGCAGCTGTTGAACCACCGCGATGTGAACGGATGTCGGACGAGTTACCTCGTCCAATGGCGCGGTTATCCCCCGTCCTGGGATACTTGGGAGCCCCCGCTCCCAACTGATGGTTGACGTACTGGGTCTGGTCGAGCAGTACGACGCGGCACATCCTGTGCAGCAGAAGGACCGCTGGAGAAAGTCTTCCCGGCACGGTCATAAAGGGATTTCAGGTTGTCAATCCCTTCGTACATCTCACTAGAGATACGTACGCTCCACCACGGGCTAGTAAGGAGGTAAGCCTCCTTAGGTGCTCTTGCAGAGTTGTTCACACAACATGGGCACGAGTCTCCCCAGGAGAGAGCAGGGTAATCCTTTCTCCCTAGACGGACGATGCAGCTTGTAGCGTGCACCTGTCGGGGTTCGCTTTTCAAACTTATCACGACCTTTGATAAGTTTGTCGTTCCCAACGTCACGACCTACATCCTCAAGGTTATGGATGTAGGCGTTCCACGCTTGAAGCAGTGAGAGACCATCACGTTTGTGATTCCCACTGTACCATCGATGTTTAAAGAAAGCATCGATAAAGAAATCGTTCTCAGCGCGATAGTTTTTCACACTGGGGTCAAGGTGATGGATCCTTGACGAATCGAACAATCGTGTTCGATAACGATCACTCGTCGTCGCCGACAAGTGATCCATGACGGATTTTGGAGGCATACATGCCTTCTTTTCCGGGAGCGAGACGCAACACACTGCGGTCCCGCTCTTTTTTGCGACGTGCCGACAGAAGTACTGGTACCTCGTTGCGAAGTGGTGTCAAAAGGAGAACCGACACCACTGTGAGCGCCCGAGTCTTGCGACCCCGAGCGCCTTCGCTTCGGCGATGGTTCATCTGATTCGTCAGATGAACCAAAGATGATACGACGTATAGCATCATCTATGCCACGCTTGGCAGGCGGCTAGGATTCGATCGCCGTCTATACGGATCCGTCTTCCGTATCAGGAGAGTATGAGACACCGAGCTCATACTCTGTGAAGACATGAGTGTCTTCATGACGAGAGCCTGCATCACCAGGTGACACAGGCTGAGTCGCTTCAGCAACCGATGAGACATCAGTTGCTGTGGTTTCTGCTTCGGCTTCCGCACAGATACGTGCATTCACACGCGCTCTCGGCGGGGCCTTGCTCGCGCACCGCATGGACTTTGTTAACCATGCGATGAACTGTTAGAAAGTGGACTCGGACCAACAAGTGCAAACCCTGTCCCAAATGATTTGGAACGAGTATCCATTTAGTCGATCAGTCACTAAAGTGACTGATGGTTAAGGGGGGTGATGTAACGGGGTGAATCGTTACATTGCAATTTATAAGAAATTGTTAATAGAATATAACTAAAAGAGTTATGCTCTCAGAACATTGTCATAAGGACAAATATTCTGTAGCACTTACGAGTAGTTCCTAATTGGTTTGATATAGGCCATTATATCAACCAACGGAAGACGCTGCCACGACAGACACACGCAATGAGTGGTGAGCAGATAGTTGATATACACATTTCAATTCAGATTAACGCGGCACCTGGTACGGGCTCACGCTGCGCCGTAATATCTACGAGGAGCTCGCGGAGAGATCCTGACGACGATGTTGTTTATGAGGACGACCGCTTACCTTCCTCTCCCCTCAGCCTCTAATAGCTAAAAGTGACGCACAGCCAACTAAGAGAGAGAATACAATGAAGAAAGAGTGACATGAAAGCCACTATAACCCGGTCTTGTATCCAGGAATGAAGCTAATTTCCGATCGGTTGGAGTAGATCTGTCTGCGACTTCGAGGGCAGTCTTACGACAAGCGCAGCATCTCGTCAGAAGCACTTTCTTCCCAATATCCTTTCTGGACCCCTGTCCAGTCCGCTAAGGACTCTGGAATCGAGGTGGATGATTTGGTGATGGAGACACCGGCTCGAACGATGCATGGAGAAGTCAGCCCGGTGTGATAAGGTGCAAACGATATGGGCGTGGGGCAGGATCCCCGGACAGTCTCCCGGCCTGGTGTTGGACTGGATTGAAAGCTTGCATGTATTGCAGATTGACGTTACCTCTAATAAACAGAGCGTCTACTATGCATTTTTTGCCTCCATAACGAATGCCCAAGCTTCTACGCTTTATCCTACGGCGTCTTGTGTGCGGGATATCAATGCCATTAAACAGCAGGTAACGGACCTTATATTGCCCAACATGTGGTATGATGTGCAATTTATGCTGATCGACCTCGCACATAGATTGAAATGCCTGTACCCGAATTCCGCGCCCCCGGTTTCTGTGGAGGTGAAGTTATTGAATAAACAATTTTCCGGTTTCTGTGAAGCGGCGACCGCTGCACGATATAAACATTATGCGGACTCGAGGGACCGATGTGCAATCAAGGCATCTCCCAGCGCTTTCTGGGGTGATAATACAATTCGTCGTGCTCTTGCGATGTATTTTAAGAGAGCCGGTATATGTCTGGGGCGTGGATAATGCTGCCAACGCCCACTCGCGGCAGTTTTCGTTTCAGACATTCGCGATGCCGATTGAAGACAACCACGAAACGGGCATCGTTAAGGTACTTGCAGATGAGAGTATTGGTGTTATCCTAGAGGCTTGTTATCAAAACAAGGTCGTTTCCTTCATGCTTGTTTTGAACCACACACAGATTAAATTATATGGTGTGCAGCATGGCGACATTTTTCATGCTTAAGACGCACTACAGGGGCCTAATATGCGTAAGCGATTAGTTATAGTGCATTAGCAGGTCGTATTTCCTGGGTTAGACTCTACTCTACATGACTAGGATTCTTTGGCTGATATATCTCGGGCGGAAGATGCTGCTATCTTGGAGGATTCAAGCCTTGACGTGTGTGACGGTGGATCTCATGTTACAAATGTGGAGACTTATGAAGGTGACTTAATTGTTAAGAGATACGCAGCACACCCGGCCCAGCCCCCTATACCCCGCTCTAAATGTCTTAATTCTGCAAACCTCTGACCCGCACCGGCTGCCTATTCCAGATAGCCGCCAAACAAAAAAGGCTGACCGAGGCGAACCGTGCGGCTTTCACCACCTTGTTGTCTAACTATGGAACGACCTTTAATGTGCCACCACACACATCTGGTAATGAAACTTAGATGGTTACTAAGATTGGATGCTGGGACTCGTGCAGAACCTAAGGCACATACTACGTTTTTTGCCGTTCCCGGAGATGGCTGTTCAAGCGGGTCCCGCTCATTAAATTCGGGGTGGGGGGATCATGAAATGTACCAGCACCGACTAGTCACGCTCCGACGTATCGCCCATGACTGCGACAGCGATATCAGGGCCCGCGCTCGCTGCCTGAAGAGGCTGGATGAGTTCTAGATGGCGCAGTCAGTCAAAGCTTATTCTACAGAAAGCTCCCACGACCATTGGGTCGACTTAGGGCGCTACATCGACTCTTCACTCCTCCGCCTAAAACTGACTTGTAACGGGGCACCCTGAAGCTTGTACTGTTACCAGTACAAGCTATTTATTCTGATGACAGAATAAGGCGGTGCCTCGAAACTTCACGTACACTCGTACGTACAGAGGAAAGGCGGTAAGGAGAAGCGAGTCCTTGATTAAAGTAAAAAGTAGAACTGTATTTATCATAATTAATGTCTGTTAATAAACCCCCTGTTTATCCTCATCTAACTATGTCTGAATACAAATGTACATATCAACTATCTGCTCACCACTCATCGCGTGCGTCTGTCGTGGTGCGTCTTCGTTGTTTGATCTAATGGCCTATATCAACCAATTAGGAACTACTCGTAAGTGCTACAGAATATTTGTCCTTATGACAATGTTCTGAGGAGTATAACTCTTTTAGTTATATTCTATTAACAATTTCTTATAAATTGCAATGTAACGATTCACCCCCGTTACATCACCCCCCTTAACCATCAGTCACTTTAGTGACTGATTGAATAAATGAATACTCGTTCCAAATCATTTGGGACAGGGTTTGCACTTGTTGGTCCGAGTCCACTTTCCAACAATTCATCGCATAGTTAACAAGCCCATGCGATGCGCGAGCACAAAGGCCGCCGAGAGCGCGTGTGCACGTATCTGTGCGGAAGCCGAAGCAGAAACCACAGCAACTGATGTGTCATCGTTGCTGAAACGACTCAGCCTGTATCACCTGGTGATGCAGGCGCTCGTCATGAAGACACTCATGTCTTCACAGAGTATAAGCTCGGTGTCTCGTACTCTCCTGATACGGAAGACGGATCCGTATCGACGGCGATCGAAACCAAGCCGCCTGCCAAGCGTGGCATGGATGATGCTATGCGTCGTAGCATCTTTGGTTCATCTGATGAATCAGACGAACCATCGCCGAAGCGTAGGCGCTCGAGGTCGCGAGACTCGGGCGCTAACAGTGGTGTCGGTTCTCCTATGGACACCACTTCGCAACGAGGTGTCAGTCCTTCTGTCGGCACGTCGCAGGAAGAGCGGGGACCGCAATGTCTTGCGTCTCGCCTTCTGAGAAGAAGGCATGGATGCCTCCCAAATTTGTCATGGATCACTTGTTGGCGACGACGAGTGATCGTTATCGAAAAACTACGATTGTTCGATTCACGTCTAGCGGAATGCTCTGGGAATGGCTAGTAATGCCACAAGGGCTTAGTTATGCCCCTGCCACGTTCAACAGGTGTGTATCACATCTGTTGAGGCCAGTACGAGAATTCGCGCCGAGTTATTTCGATGACGTATTCATCCATAGTCGAGCTATGGATGGAAAGTCGGACGTTGAGGTTCACAAGTACCACGTCCGACAAGTTCTTACAACCATACGAAAGCATCAATTGTATGCAAACCTCAAGAAGTGTATATTTGCAGCAAGTGAAATACCACTTCTTGGGTGCATCGTTGGTAAGAACGGTGTACGTCCTGATCTCGAAAAGATCAAGGCAATCACCGACTGGCCTGTGCGAGTTGATGTCAAAGGAATTCAAAATTTCCTTGCGCTAGCGGCGTATTTGCACAAGTATTCACGCGATTACGCCGAGATGACTGTACACCTCTATCGTTTGTTGAAAAATAAACGAGAGGTGGTTATGGAACGCTGAATGTCAGCGCTCCTTTGATGGTATCAAGCAGAGCTTGATACAATCCCCAGTCCTAGCAATTGCCGATCAGGACAGGCCATTTCATGTAGTCTGTGATGCCAGCGATTTCGCAATCAGCTGTGCATTAATGCAGTACGATCTTGAAGGCGTTGAACGCGTCGTCTGCTGTCAGTCACGTCAGCTGCAACCAGCTGAGCGGAACTATCCAGTGCATGACAAGGAACTCCTTGCCATGAAGTATGCACTCGCGAAGCTCAGAGTCGATCTATTAGAAGATAGACCCTTCATTGTTTACACAGACCATGCGTCGTTACGCACGGCAGTGAACAGCCCGCACCTTTCACAACGAATGGCGCGGTGTTTGTCATACTTTGTAGAATACAACTTTACGGTAGAGTACAAACCAGGACGAATTAATATCGTCGCTGATGCACTCTCACGTCGGCCCGACTTTGAACCAGTCGTGAAACCCAACAGTAAGACAGCCACTGTTACGGTAATGACGTCCTCAATACCATCTACAACGTTGCATGATGATGTGAGGCGGGCGTATGCCCAAGATGGTGATATTGTGAAGTTGTCGACACATCTCTCACAACCATCTCGATAATCGTTGAAACGATTATCGTCTGCGTATCGATCTGCATCAGATTGATACACTACTCGCAACGGTTAACTGTATTATACATCCGTTACTGGTGACACACCACGTGTTGCTATCCCAGATGATACTGAGCTGCGTTTGCGGATCATGTTCGAGTATCACGATGCTCCTATAGGAGGACATCGTGGCCGTGAGAAAACATGTCTCACGGTGAGTCGAGACTTTTACCGGCCCCGCCAGTATCAGTTTGTGCGAAAGTACGTTCGCGCATGCGAAGTCTTTCAACGAGTGAAATTAAGTCCTTCACTGCGTGCACCTTTACAGCCTCTACCAGTTCCGGCTGAGTGCTGGGAATCCATCTCAATGGATTTCGTCTTCCGGGTTACCCAAAGACGCACGCGGGAATACGGGTGTTCTCGTATTTGTTGACAGATTCAGCAAAATGGTACACCTAGTGGCTGTACAAGTGTCAATCACAGCAAGTGGCTGTGCTTGTGCCTTTATCGACACCATCTTCCGACTTCATGGGTTGCCCCATGAACTCGTATCAGACAGAGATCTGCGCTTCACAGCTGATTTCTGGCGCTCCGTGTTCAAATTACTCGGAACGCGCTTGAAGATGTCGACATCTGATCATCCAGAGTCAGATGGTCTGACGGAACGAGCCAATCGTGTCCTCGAAGAGATACTTCGAGAATACGTACACTTCTTTAAGAGTTGGAGTGAGTTTTTGCCGATGGTAGAGTTTGCCATCAACAACTCGGTGCATGCGTCCACGACACATACACCGTTTTACGTGAATGGCTTGCGCCATCCGCGTGTACCCACCTTACCAGAGTGTAACTCTGGTTTCAGGGGGGGAGAGACTCGCGCGAGCAAAAACTGATTTGGTTCACGCTCATTACGCTCTGACGAAGAGGTCATTGCGTTTGATGCAGAAAACATCGACATAAAAGAAGATGATGCCTGTTAGAGCGAGGAAGCCCTCACTGAAGAAAAGATTGATGCCGCTGCAGTGCACTCACAGCGCACTAAAGCTAACGAGTCATCAGATGAGTTCATACTGGCTCGTGAAACGTTAGTCCGTTTTGTGCAAGACTCCATCGCCGAAGCGGTGGATAAGCAAAAGCAAAACGCTGACAAGAATGGAAGGGCAAACACTCTTTTATTTAATCAAGGTGACTTAGTCCTACTGTCTACGGTTAATCTACCAAAGCATGTAGTGACTAACTTGGGTATTAGTAAAATTCTACCCAAGTACATCGGCTCATTTCGTGTATCGCATCGCCTAGGCAATGCATACACGATCGAGTTGCCACGTAAGATGCGAACGCATCCCACGTTTTTCGTTGGTCGGCTTAAGCCGTACCATCAGTACGCTGTTTCTTCCGATGAAGAACGCCCTTGCACTTAAGCATCTCACAGAGGGCCTTGTGCTCCCGTTGGTGGATATCGAAAAAGGTCTGAAGAGCAGTTTTCTCAGCCTTAGACCGGTCAATATCTCCACGAGCTACCCTTAGCTCGTCACGCAGAGACGTCAAAGCTCTCTCGTTCTCAAGCTGAGCAAACTCAGCTCGATGCTTCAAGACAGTGTCCGTCAGTTGGAGACGCCTGTCCCGCTCATGCTCGAGATCGCCGCGTAACCCTTGCGTTACGCGATCAAAGAAGCTCTCGGGGACACACGCTTCCCCGCGATAGTTTAGAGAGCGTTTTTCCTCCTCCTCCACCTCCATTAGAGGACTCTCACGGTGGCCAGCGCTATCTGTTTGAGCAGCTGTTGAACCACCGCGATGTGAACGGATGTCGGACGAGTTACCTCGTCCAATGGCGCGGTTATCCCCCGTCCTGGGATACTTGGGAGCCCCGCTCCCAACTGATGGTTGACGTACTGGGTCTGGTCGAGCAGTACGACGCGGCACATCCTGTGCAGCAGAAGGATCGCTGGAGAAAGTCTTCCCGGCACGGTCATAAAGGGATTTCAGGTTGTCAATCCCTTCGTACATCTCACTAGAGATACGTACGCTCCACCACGGGCTAGTAAGGAGGTAAGCCTCCTTAGGTGCTCTTGCAGAGTTGTTCACACAACATGGGCACGAGTCTCCCCAGGAGAGGCAGGGTAATCCTTTCTCCCTAGACGGACGATGCAGCTTGTAGCGTGCACCTGTCGGGGTTCGCTTTTCAAACTTATCACGACCTTTGATAAGTTTGTCGTTCCAAACGTCACGACCTACATCCTCAAGGTTATGGATGTAGGCGTTCCACGCTTGAAGCAGTGAGAGACCATCACGTTTGTGATTCCCACTGTACCATCGATGTTTAAAGAAAGCATCGATAAAGAAATCGTTCTCAGCGCGATAGTTTTTCACACTGGGGTCAAGGTGATGGATCCTTGACGAATCGAACAATCGTGTTCGATAACGATCACTCGTCGTCGCCGACAAGTGATCCATGACGGATTTTGGAGGCATACATGCCTTCTTTTCGGGAGCGAGACGCAACACACTGCGGTCCCGCTCTTTTTGCGACGTGCCAACAGAAGTACTGGTACCTCGTTGCGAAGTGGTGTCAAAAGGAGAACCGACACCACTGTGAGCGCCCGAGTCTTGCGACCCCGAGCGCCTTCGCTTCGGCGATGGTTCATCTGATTCGTCAGATGAACCAAAGATGATACGACGTATAGCATCATCTATGCCACGCTTGGCAGGCGGCTAGGATTCGATCGCCGTCTATACGGATCCGTCTTCCGTATCAGGAGAGTATGAGACACCGAGCTCATACTCTGTGAAGACATGAGTGTCTTCATGACGAGAGCCTGCATCACCAGGTGACACAGGCTGAGTCGCTTCAGCAACCGATGAGACATCAGTTGCTGTGGTTTCTGCTTCGGCTTCCGCACAGATACGTGCACACGCGCTCTCGGCGGCCTTGCTCGCGCACCGCATGGACTTGTTAACCATGCGATGAACTGTTAGAAAGTGGACTCGGACCAACAAGTGCAAACCCTGTCCCAAATGATTTGGAACGAGTATCCATTTAGTCGATCAGTCACTAAAGTGACTGATGGTTAAGGGGGGGGGGGGTGATGTAACGGGGTGAATCGTTACATTGCAATTTATAAGAAATTGTTAATAGAATATAACTAAAAGAGTTATGCTCTCAGAACATTGTCATAAGGACAATATTCTGTAGCACTTACGAGTAGTTCCTAATTGGTTGATATAGGCCATTATATCAACCAACGAAGACGCGCCACGACAGACACACGCAATGAGTGGTGAGCAGATAGTTGATATACACATTTCAATTCAGATTAACGCGGCACCTGGTACGGGCTCACGCTGCGCCGTAATATCTACGAGGAGCTCGCGGAGAGATCTGACGACGATGTTGTTTATGAGGACGACCGCTTACCTTCCCTCCCTCAGCCTCTAATAGCTAAAAGTGACGCACAGCCAACTAAGAGAGAATACAATGAAGAAAGAGTGACATGAAAGCCACTATAACCCGGTCTTGTATCCAGGATTGAAGCTAATTTCCGATCGGTTGGAGTAGATCTGTCTGCGACTTCGAGGCAGTCTTACGACAAGCGCAGCATCTCGTCAGAAGCACTTTCTTCCCAATATCCTTTCTGGACCCCTGTCCAGTCCGCTAAGGACTCTGGAATCGAGGTGGATGATTTGGTGATGGAGACACCGGCTCGAACGATGCATGGAGAAGTCAGCCCGGTGTGATAAGGTGCAAACGATATGGGCGTGGGGCAGGATCACGGACAGTCTCCCGGCCTGGTGTTGGACTGGATTGAAAGCTTGCATGTATTGCAGATTGACGTTACCTCTAATAAACAGAGCGTCTACTATGCATTTTTTGCCTCCATAACGAATGCCCAAGCTTCTACGCTTTATCCTACGGCGTCTTGTGTGCGGGATATCAATGCCATTAAACAGCAGGTAACGGACCTTATTTTGCCCAACATGTGGTATGATGTGCAATTTATGCTGATCGACCTCGCACATAGATTGAAATGCCTGTACCCGAATTCCGCGCCCCCGGTTTCTGTGGAGGTGAAGTTATTGAATAAACAATTTTCCGGTTTCTGTGAAGCGGCGACCGCTGCACGATATAAACATTATGCGGACTCGAGGGACCAATGTGCAATCAAGGCGTCTCCCAGCGCTTTCTGGGGTGATAATACAATTCTTCGTGCTCTTGCGATGTATTTTAAGAGAGCCGGTATATGTCTGGGGCGTGGATAATGCTGCCAACGCCCACTCGCGGCAGTTTTCGTTTCAGACATTCGCGATGCCGATTGAAGACAACCACGAAACGGGCATCGTTAAGGTACTTGCAGATGAGAGTATTGGTGTTATCCTAGAGGCTTGTTATCAAAACAAGGTCGTTTCCTTCATGCTTGTTTTGAACCACACACAGATTAAATTATATGGTGTGCAGCATGGCGACATTTTTCATGCTTAAGACGCACTACAGGGGCCTAATATGCGTAAGCGATTAGTTATAGTGCATTAGCAGGTCGTATTTCCTGGGTTAGACTCTACTCTACATGACTAGGATTCTTTGGCTGATATATCTCGGGCGGAAGATGCTGCTATCTTGGAGGATTCAAGCCTTGACGTGTGTGACGGTGGATCTCATGTTACAAATGTGGAGACTTATGAAGGTGACTTAATTGTTAAGAGATACGCAGCACACCCGGCCCAGCCCCTATACCCCGCTCTAAATGTCTTAATTCTGCAAACCTCTGACCCGCACCGGCTGCCTATTCCAGATAGCCGCCAAACAAAAAGGCTGACCGAGGCGAACCGTGCGGCTTTCACCACCTTGTTGTCTAACTATGGAACGACCTTTAATGTGCCACCACACACATCTGGTAATGAAACTTAGATGGTTACTAAGATTGGATGCTGGGACTCGTGCAGAACCTAAGGCACATACTACGTTTTTTGCCGTTCCCGGAGATGGCTGTTCAAGCGGGTCCCGCTCATTAAATTCGGGGTGGGGGGATCATGAAATGTACCAGCACCGACTAGTCACGCTCCGACGTATCGCCCATGACTGCGACAGCGATATCAGGGCCCGCGCTCGCTGCCTGAAGAGGCTGGATGAGTTCTAGATGGCGCAGTCAGTCAAAGCTTATTCTACAGAAAGCTCCCACGACCATTGGGTCGACTTAGGGCGCTACATCGACTCTTCACTCCTCCGCCTAAAACTGACTTGTAACGGGGCACCCTGAAGCTTGTACTGTTACCAGTACAAGCTATTTATTCTGATGACAGAATAAGGCGGTGCCTCGAAACTTCACGTACACTCGTACGTACAGAGGAAGGCGGTAAGGAGAAGCGAGTCCTTGATTAAAGTAAAAAGTAGAACTGTATTTATCATAATTAATGTCTGTTAATAAACCCCCTGTTTATCCTCATCTAACTATGTCTGAATACAAATGTACATATCAACTATCTGCTCACCACTCATCGCGTGCGTCTGTCGTGGTGCGTCTTCGTTGTTTGATCTAATGGCCTATATCAACCAATTAGGAACTACTCGTAAGTGCTACAGAATATTTGTCCTTATGACAATGTTCTGAGAGTATAACTCTTTTAGTTATATTCTATTAACAATTTCTTATAAATTGCAATGTAACGATTCACCCCGTTACATCACCCCCCTTAACCATCAGTCACTTTAGTGACTGATTGAATAAATGAATACTCGTTCCAAATCATTTGGGACAGGGTTTGCACTTGTTGGTCCGAGTCCACTTTCCAACAATTCATCGCATGGTTAACAAGCCCATGCGATGCGCGAGCAAGGCCGCCGAGAGCGCGTGTGCACGTATCTGTGCGGAAGCCGAAGCAGAAACCACAGCAACTGATGTGTCATCGTTGCTGAAACGACTCAGCCTGTATCACCTGGTGATGCAGGCGCTCGTCATGAAGACACTCATGTCTTCACAGAGTATAAGCTCGGTGTCTCGTACTCTCCTGATACGGAAGACGGATCCGTATCGACGGCGATCGAAACCAAGCCGCCTGCCAAGCGTGGCATGGATGATGCTATGCGTCGTAGCATCTTTGGTTCATCTGATGAATCAGACGAACCATCGCCGAAGCGTAGGCGCTCGAGGTCGCGAGACTCGGGCGCTAACAGTGGTGTCGGTTCTCCTATGGACACCACTTCGCAACGAGGTGTCAGTCCTTCTGTCGGCACGTCGCAGGAAGAGCGGGACCGCAATGTCTTGCGTCTCGCTTCTGAGAAGAAGGCATGGATGCCTCCCAAATTTGTCATGGATCACTTGTTGGCGACGACGAGTGATCGTTATCGGGCTACGATTGTTCGATTCGTCAGGGATCCATCACCTTGACCCCAGTGTGAAAAACTATCGCGCTGAGAACGATTTCTTTATCGATGCTTTCTTTAAACATCGATGGTACATTGGGAATCACAAGCGTGATGGTCTCTCACTGCTTCAAGCGTGGAACGCCTACATCCATAACCTCGAGGATGTAGGTCATGACGCTTGGAACGACAAACTTATCAAAGCTCGTGATAAGTTTGAAAAGCGAACCCCGACAGGTGCACGCTACAAGCTGCATCGTCCGTCTAGGGAGAAAGGATTACCCTGCCTCTCTTGGGGAGACTCGTGCCCATGTTGTGTGAACAACTCTGCACGAGCACCTAAGGAGGCTTACCTCCTTACTAGCCCGTGGTGGCGCGTACGTGTCTCTACTGAGATGTACGAAGGGATTGACAACCTGAAATCCCTTTACGACCGTGCCGGGAAGACTTTCTCCGGCGGTCCTTCTGCGGCACAGGATGTGCCGCGTCGTACTGCTCGACCAGACCCAGTACGTCAACCATCAGTTGGGAGCGGGGCTCCCAAGTATCCCAGGACGGGGGATAACCGCGCCATTGGACGAGGTAACTCGTCCGACATCCGTTCACATCGCGGTGGTTCAACAGCTGCTCAAACAGATAGCGCTGGCCACCGTGAGAGTCCTCTAATGGAGGTGGAGGAGGAGGAAAAACGCTCTCTAAACTATCGCGGGGAAGCGTGTGTCCCCGAGAGCTTCTTTGATCGCGTAACGCAAGGGTTACGCGGCGATCTCGAGCATGAGCGGGACAGGCGTCTCCAACTGACGGACACTGTCTTGAAGCATCGAGCTGAGTTTGCTCAGCTTGAGAACGAGAGAGCTTTGACGTCTCTGCGTGACGAGCTAAGGGTAGCTCGTGGAGATATTGACCGGTCTAAGGCTGAGAAAACTGCTCTTCAGACCTTTTTCGATATCCACCAACGGGAGCACAAGGCCCTCTGTGAGATGCTTAAGCGCAAGGGCGTTCTTCATCGGAAGAAACAGCGTACTGATGGTACGGCTTAAGCCGACCAACGAAAAACGTGGGATGCGTTCGCATCTTACGTGGCAACTCGATCGTGTATGCATTGCCTAGGCGATGCGATACACGAAATGGGCCGATGTACTTGGGTAGAATTTTACTAATACCCAAGTTAGTCACTACATGCTTTGGTAGATTAACCGTAGACAGTAGGACTAAGTCACCTTGATTAAATAAAAGAGTGTTTGCCCTTCCATTCATGTCTGCGTTTTGCTTTTGCTTATCCACCGCTTCGGCGATGGAGTCTTGCACAAAACGGACTAACGTTTCACGAGCCAGTATGAACTCATCTGATGACTCGTTAGCTTTAGTGCGCTGTGAGTGCACTGCAGCGACATCAATCTTTTCTTCAGTGAGGGCTTCCTCGCTCTAACAGGCATCATCTTCTTTTATGTCGATGTTTTCTGCATCAAACACAATGACCTCTTCGTCAGAGCGTAATGAGCGTGAACCAAATCAGTTTTTGCTCGCGCGAGTCTCTCCCCCCCCTGAAACCAGAGTTACACTCTGGTAAGGTGGGTACACGCGGATGGCGCAAGCCATTCACGTAAAACGGTGTATGTGTCGTGGACGCATGCACCGAGTTGTTAATGGCAAACTCTACCATTGGCAAAGACTCACTCCGAATTTTAAAGGAGTGTACGTATCCTCGAAGTATCTCTTCAAGGACACGATTGGCTCGTTCCGTCAGACCATCTGACTCTGGATGATCAGATGTCGACATCTTCAAGCGCGTTCCGAGTAATTTGAACACGGAGCGCCAGAAATCAGCTGTGAAGCGCAGATCTCTGTCTGATACGAGTTCATGGGGCAACCCATGAAGTCGGAAGATGGTGTCGATAAAGGCACAAGCACAGCCACTTGCTGTGATTGACACTTGTACAGCCACTAGGTGTACCATTTTGCTGAATCTGTCAACAAATACGAGAACACCCGTATTCCCGCGTGCGTCTTTGGGTAACCCGAAGACGAAATCCATTGAGATGGATTCCCAGCACTCAGCCGGAACTGGTAGAGGCTGTAAAGGTGCACGCAGTGAAGGACTTAATTTCACTCGTTGAAAGACTTCGCATGCGCGAACGTACTTTCGCACAAACTGATACTTGCGGGGCCAGTAAAAGTCTCGACTCACCGTGAGACATGTTTTCTCACGGCCACGATGTCCTCCTATAGGAGCATCGTGATACTCGAACATGATCCGCAAACGCAGCTCAGTATCATCTGGGATAGCAACACGTGGTGTGTCACCAGTAACGGATGTATAATACAGTTAACCGTTGCGAGTAGTGTATCAATCTGATGCAGATCGATACGCAGACGATAATCGTTTCAACGATTATCGAGATGGTTGTGAGAGATGTGTCGACAACTTCACAATATCACCATCTTGGGCATACGCCCGCCTCACATCATCATGCAACGTTGAAGATGGTATTGAGGACGTCATTACCGTAACAGTGGCTGTCTTACTGTTGGGTTTCACGACTGGTTCAAAGTCGGGCCGACGTGAGAGTGCATCAGCGACGACATTAATTCGTCCTGGTTTGTACTCTACCGTAAAGTTGTATTCTACAAAGTATGACAAACACCGCGCCATTCGTTGTGAAAGGTGCGGGCTGTTCACTGCCGTGCGTAACGACGCATGGTCAGTGTAAACAATGAAGGGTCTATCTCCTAATAGATCGACTCTGAACTTCGCGAGTGCATACTTCATGGCAAGGAGTTCCTTGTCATGCACTGGATAGTTCCGCTCAGCTGGTTGCAGCTGACGTGACTGACAGCAGACGACGCGTTCAACGCCTTCAAGATCGTACTGCATTAATGCACAGCTGATTGCGAAATCGCTGGCATCACAGACCACATGAAATGGCCTGTCCTGATCGGCAATTGCTAGGACTGGGGATCGTATCAAGCTCTGCTTGATACCATCAAAGGAGCGCTGACATTCAGCGTTCCATAACCACCTCTCGTTTATTTTTCAACAAACGATAGAGGTGTACAGTCATCTCGGCGTAATCGCGTGAATACTTGTGCAAATACGCCGCTAGCGCAAGGAAATTTCGAATTCCTTTGACATCAACTCGAACAGGCCAGTCGGTGATTGCCTTGATCTTTTCGAGATCAGGACGTACACCGTTCTTACCAACGATGCATCCAAGAAGTGGTATTTCGCTTGCTGCAAATATACACTTCTTGAGATTGGCATACAATTAATGCTTTTGCATGATTGAAAGAACCTGTCGGACGTGGTATCTGTGAACCGCAACGTCCGACTTTCCATCCATAGCCCAACTATGGATGAATACGTCATCGAAATAACTCGGCGCGAATTCTCGTACTGGTCTCAATAGATGCGATACACATCTGTTGAACGTGACAGGGGCATAACTAAGCCCTTGTGGCATTACTAGCCATTTCCAGAGCATTCCGCTAGACGTGCTAACTGCGGTATAGGGTATATCCCGTTCCCGCATTAGGATTTGATAGAAGCCACCCATCAAATCCATGGACGAAAAGATGGTACTCTTTGACATACCATCAATGATTACGTCCTTCCTCGATATCGGCGTCTGAGCCGGTACCGTTGCAGCATTCAACTTGTTAAATGCATGCACTATCCGCCTCCCTCCTGTTGCTTTTCACACACAGAAGGTCTGAGAGCTATGTAGGGAAGTTGATTCCCTCACATGGCCCGCTGCTAAACGATCGGCAAAGAACTTGTCGATCGCAAGTACTTGTTCACGAGGCAGTGGCCACTGCTTCATGACATAGTACTTCGAGCCTGGTTTAAGCTCGACCTCGTGTCGAATACCTTTATCCTTCGGCAATTCGCACGGAACAGTTTCAGGGAATACATCCTTGAATTCAACCAAATCTTCATAGAGAGGATTTGTCCTGAGCGATTCCCACGATTGGGAGTCATATCGCTCATCTCGTGTATTTTCATCTAGGACACTCTCGTCCACAGATGAACTACTGAGAACTCTCTCGTTCTCAGTGAACACTGTTGCTGACCTAATGTCGGCTACACACTCGTCGTCAGCGACGAGTATGCAGATCTGCTTGACTTTGCCACTACGCAGATCACGCAAGAACCTTTTATATTCGAGCGTTGGCAACTGAGTGATCTCCGAAGTCAACTTCGGAGGCGCAATCAGATCAAGTGTATAAGCGCCTATATTTGATCCATCATTGACTAGGACATTCAATGTATCTGTCATTTCCTGGGGACTCATTCCCTCAGGCCTCGAAGGACTTATTCCTTCGTCTTCCCGGGGACTTATTCCCGCGGGTTTCGGGGAACTTATTTCCGCCGTATTTGTAAAATCGGGACCTATTCCCTTAACTTCCTCTAGCTGTGGTTGCGCAACAGCGAGATCCTCTACGAAAGACTCTCCAGTCGATCTATGATGATCGTTTCGATTAACCTGAGCGATCGATGGTTTCTCTTCTAGATGTTCCCCGCTACGGATACATCTTTGTCGCGGTCCACTCGACTTATTCGAGTGGTGGACCTTCGGCGCAGCCTGTGTTACCTCATAGCTGCCGGAATCTTCCTCCGAAGTGTAACTATTTGTTACACTAAGGTTTTGTGCAGTCGTACTAACGACCGTACCACAAGTGAGGCCATCGCACTCACTCGTAGTACATCCACACGCTTGTGGACGCTCCAAAACGTTCGTCAGGAGGCCATCTGATGAACAAGCGGCAGGCATCGTTACTGTTCGATGTTGCCAATTTACCCGTGGTTCGTACCTTCTGAGCCACGGTATTTCAAGGATGACATCAAATTTTTCATCCGAATCCAATACGATAGAGTCATCGTCAGATTGGGTATCTTCTAGCGTATAGTGGATCTTCACTAAACGCTTCATGACGGTTACGGATGCGCCTGTCGCAAGACGTACCGTCATCTTCGTAGGAGGTGTGTCACATTCACTGAACTTAAATTGACCATCTTCTAGCGATTGGCGTTGCACAAAATTGTTGGACGCCCCACAATCGACTAGAGCTCGAAGGGACAACTTATTCGTCACTTCGAGTGTCAAGGTAATGAGTGAGAGCTTATTACCTAGAGCAGCAACGCACAACGTTTGTGTGTTGGGAGCAACCTTCATCAAGAGGCCTACAAATTCTCTTGACGTTGCTGGACCAGTAGGGTGCTCCGCATCTACTGATCCTGTCCATTTTTTGACGGTCCATCCCGTTGTTGCGTACTTTGCACCAACAGCGGACCCGTGTCCCTGCCCCTTTCTCATGGGTGGACGGTCACTACGCCCAGTGTTGCGAGACACTGGACGAGGTGCACTACACTCGTAAGAGTATTGTCCTGTCTTTTGACATCTGTTGCATCTCTGCAACTTCTTGTAGCCTGTAGAGCGAGCCTTCTTGCTCTCTACATAGCAGAGTTCCATCGACTCTGGACCTACGCTGTCATATCGTCTCGGTTGTACGATATGATGTCGAGCTGGCACGAGCCTGTCTCAGACTGAAGTCTTCCTGTTCCGCAATGGAAATGGCTTGTTCTAGTGAATCTAGTTCAAGTCGAAACAGGTGAGTTTTGACGGGACCATCCGCAAGACCCTGCATGAACACCGAAATCAACGTGTGTTCATCCACCGGGTTGGAACTTGTACAACTCGTGAGATGTCGTATATGTTGCGCGTAAGCGTGCACATCACGCTTACCTTGTTTGAGCTTCAAGAGTTCAGTTCGAGCTCTGAACTCAGTTTTAGGCGGCCCAAACGTTTGTCTGAGCAGCGACTTGAAGACTTCTAACGACCCAAACGCATATGGGTCGTGCAACTTGAGTCCCAAAGCCCAAGTCTTGGCACGTTCTGTCGGATTTGATTGGGCAAATGCAACTTGCATATCCCCGTCGTCGATGCGACGCGCCCTTATGGCGTCGTCTAATTCGATGAACCATCTCAAGAGGGAGTCCTCTTCGACTCCTCTATACTTGGAGATGTCAATCTTCAAGGTC